AAAGTGAAGTTAAATTAGAACAATTGTTGAGTATACTGCGATGTGGGAATATTTTATCCTAATGGATTTTCTACTTGTAAGTTATAGTTTAATAAAAAGAAGTACATGTGTTTTCTAATTTAACTGTGTGCAAATAATAAAAGGCGATGTACATGTAGGCTGCTAATGCTGTGAGCCAATTTACCAAAGAAAAACATGTTGAGTTTGCCCACGGACCATTGTGGTCCATGGTTTGCCTAATACAGTATTTTTCACTGAGGTGAGTTCTCCAAATGAAATGAAAAGCACCTGCAATGCATGTAGTTCCATATCGCCATTGTATCTTTTACCTGCAGGGTGTGGTATTTATTATCCGTAAGGCATAAGTAGCGGGGCAGCACCAAATATGGGATTGTTTGTGGCAGCTTTTTCATTTGGTATTGTTGATAGAATTTGCATCAAGGTCTGTGAGAGTCCATGGTGGATGACCTGAGAATACAAACCCAATAAACAGGGTAGTGACGTTGGATCGAGGAATGCTGAAGTTGAATAGATTCTAAGCTCTCTGGCTCGCTGTAGGTAAACTATTGGTGAATATAACATTGTACTATCAACAATATAGTCTGGGTATTCAGTTTATTTCTCATGAACCAATTTTACGCGATCTATGGCTAATACAGACCTGTGTGGTTTTTTGTACTGTTATGAGTAACATGTACAGGCCAATTAAGGTACCGGTACTATATTTTGGAGGAGTGGTAATTTCTCTTGGACACAATAAAATACTTTTGTCTCATCAGATAGTGGTAAGGGATATGAACGTGCATGTACCGTAGGCCTGCATGTCAGGGCCCTAAAAAATAGCAGTTCAAACAGCTGAAAAGGCTACCCTGCTGAAATATATTTCAAAAGATGTTGCTTTATTCCGTAATTAGGACTTGTTTGATAACAAAAAGGTTTCGGACAAAACAGATCTTTTACAACTTTCAAATTGTAGTTTGTACTCCATGTTGCTCCTCTGTAATGAAATTTAAGAGGAAATTTAGACTTTTCATAGAACGTTTTGGAACTGGACGCAAAAAGCTTAAAAGTAAAACTTTATTGTTGGAGGGGGTGCAAGAGTCCCATTCATTTCAACATAGAGCTCTGCAAAGGAATCTTCAAATATCAAAGAAGCTGTAAATATTTTATCTGTAACATTTTTACTGAATAATTACAAGAATAAGAAGAAGCAAATTTGGACTGATTAAGTTGGTTGAAATTGTTCCTATCGGTAGTTCCAGAGGGTCAGCCCAGTATCATTTTGATAGCTGACTGACAGGCTGGTTCAACAGTACACCTGGTGCTTCTCAGCAAATTCTATCTTGGTTTACTGTTTATCTTTGTAATAAACTTCGTACCTGGCATTAGGAAATATTGGTAGCCTCTCCCATTTAATTTGAATAGGTACCTTTGTATGGAAATGCAATAATTAAATGGAGTATAACAATAGGTTATGGATGTATTAAGCAAAAGAAGGCCTTTCCAACGTCTTAAGAAGCACCGTTGGAAATTTCCATTAACTTGTAGTTTGTTTATTTAGCGAAGCGCGTGCAAGCGTTGACACAATGCACATGCGTGCGCAGTTGCTATAATTCGTCTGATCGGTGCGCGACATTGCGTAGCTGCAATCCGCTCAGTGAGAACTGTTTCGGATGCTGAATTCAGGCCCGATTCAAAACATGATTTACATGTAGCAACTTTTGATTCAAAATCGAGATCGTAGAATGTTGTTTTTCTTGAAATATACAGCTGAAGCTGAGCTGAAACTTCATCAGGTCAGTTGTTAAGCACCCTTCTATAGATTTTGAGCACTTTTGTTGCTTCAAATGAACAGAATGTGCAAATTACAATTTATGATGGACTATATCTTTAACCGTGTGCAAATTAATTCATGAGATGTACATGTACATGTGCAATGTAGGCTGCTAATGCTGTGAGCCAATCACTCATTACCAAAGAAAAACATGTTTGAGTTTGCCCACGGACCATTGTGGTCCTTGGTTTGCCTTTTAATACAGTATTTTTCGCTTAATAGGTGAGTGCTCCAAACGAAATGAAAAGCACAGGCAATAGTTCCATATCGCCATTACACTTATACACTCAACCAGAAAAGAAATCCCCCCAATACTTTTTGTCTCACTCTAAAACTACTGCGCATCTTTTGCTCAAATAATGACAAGTACAGAAATTCCTTAGCAATCCAGCCATACTCTTTATTTGGCACAAAATAGCGATAGGCCTAATGTCCGTACACAGAGTGGAGTGTGAACATTTCGTCTCTAACGCAATCTTCCAACAAAAATTTCATAAAAATAATTTCAAGTTTTGTTGTTTATGTTTTTACCCTTTCCTTTACTGAACCTCAAAGAACATGCAAAGTACATTTATGCAATAAAGGAAATGGTGAAAAAATGTTAAGAAATCAATTTTAAGAATTTTTTGTTGGAAGAGATGAAAGTGCATTAGAAACAAAATGTTCACACTCAACTTGCAGCTGTACAAAAGTGCAAATTTGTTTCGGTATCATTTGTCATAAGTTGTATAAATGTGTACACACTATCACTGTTTTGGGGCCAAATTAAGAGTATGGCTGGATTGCTAAGGACTTTCTGTACTGATTAGTCGTTATTTTAGCGAGAGGTGCCTAGTAGTTCTTGAGTTGAAGACAAACAGTTTTGAGGGGGGGACTTTCTTTTATAATTGAGTTTACAAGTTTTACCTGCAGGGTGTGGGACATGTATGTACATGTATGTTATCCGTAAGGCATACATGAAAGCAGCGGGGCAGCACCAAATATGGGATTGTTTGTGGCAGCTTTTTCATTGGGTATTGTTGACAGAATTTGCATCAAGGTCTGTGAGAGTCAATGGTGGATGACCTGAGAATACAAACCAAATAAATGGGGTAGTGATGTTGGAATGAGGAATGCTGAACTTGAATAATTTCTAAGCTCTCTGGCTCGCTGTAGGTAAACTATTGGTGAATATACCATTGTACTGTCAACAATATAGTCTCGGTATTCAGTTTATTTCTCATAAACTGATTGTACATGCTGTATCACTAATGTAGAGAAGGTGTTTTTGCTGAATTGAGTTGAGTAACATGTATACAGGCCAAGGTACTTTTTTTGGAGGAGTGGTAATTTCTCTTTGACACAATAAACAAGTTTTGTCTTCACAGATACCAGTAAGGACTAACATGCATGTCAGGACCCTTAAGAACAGTTCAAATTACTGAAAAGGCTACCCTGCTGAAATGAAAGCAGTATACTTCAAAAGATGTTACTCTATTCTGTAATTAGGACTTGTTTGATAAAAAAAAAAGGTTTTACACAAAACGGGATGTTTGACAACTTTCAAATTATAGTTTGTGTTGCATGTTGCCCCGTTGCTCAAAAGGCAGTGAAGCAGTTCCAATTTTCGTGGTATACCGACCCACAGGGGGTCTGACAATTGCCCAGTTCTACTTTAATATCTCTCCGAGCATGACGTCAGTTTCACATATAGATAGGGGCTGGGCGGAAGAGGTTCTTTCATTTGATAGTAACCATGGTAACAGTGGATCCGCTCTTATCGATTCTGAACTGTACATTTTCAGTATTGCAATAGATTTCAGGCATGCAACTTTTTTTTGGAGCAGCTGATTTCCTCTCTTTTTTTATTCTCATGTCATTATGCCTCTCAAAATTCAAAAACAAATTTTGGAATTTCCTTTTTTGTGTGGTGAATTTACAGTTGCATGCCTGAGATTTAGATTGTGGAAGAGATAAAAGCATAAATCCTACAACACTTGAGGGTGGGGAGGCGGGTGTGCATGTGGTTGTCCAAAGTTCGATGTGTTGGCATGGTGAATTCCCTTCCAGACAGTTTCTTGTGTTAAATGTACCATCAGTAAATAATGAGTATGGACATTCAGACTCTGATACGGAGCATGAGGGTTAACTAGGAGAGGGAAAACATGGGCAGGGATGCCCCTCCCTCAACACTGCTGTTTTAGAGGTTTTTAGCACAATGCAGGTTGTAAAAATAGTGTTTAAGTTCCTTCCTACACAAAGTTAACTGTTATGTCTTTATATCCAAACAGTAATGGACGTGTGAACTCCTTCACTGCCACAGTCGGCTACCGAAGTAATGCCTTTCATGGGTTAAAGGTGAGTGAATTAATAGACCTACATGACGTCACGCTTTGTTTACATGTACGTGCTTTCCTATGGGAGCTTGCATGGTGGCTCTCGTGCCCACCTGGCTCCCATAAGAAAGCACACATGTAAACAAAGCGTGACGTCAATAGGTCTATTAATGACTGCAATATTATTTTTTCTGCTGATCAGGAATGTACAGCTTTTTTAAAATCTTTGTGACTGAATGATGTGATTTTTAAAATAAAGTGGGTCTCCAATTTCAAGTTTTAAGTTTTTAAACTACTTTGGACTTTTATTGTCAAGGTTTCAGAAAGTTTTGCTGGTCACGTAGCAAGATTTTGTTCATGGGTGGGGTGTTAACAAAACTGCTGGCCATGTGCAGAGAGCACAATCTACATGTTGATCATTACCAGCGGCTATAACCCACTTCCCTTCTTTGCCTTCAGTCCTCCACGCCCTTTTTGACCGATGGACTGACTGACCAACCAATCAACCACGCCCTACTGACCAACCACAGAGCAACGAACGGATCGACTGAACGACAGATTGACTGACCAACCAACAGACCGACCAACTGACTGAATGACATGTACATTGTATAGCAGGCATGCAACTTTTCCTCGGATCCGCTGATTTCCTTGTGTTTTGCTTTCATGAATACCATTACAAATTACACTGTACCAAGTCTTGTGTGGTTTGGAAATCCCTCGTTTTTTTAATTCCCAGTTGCATGTCTGATATAATGACCAACCGGTCGACCAACGGACTGATGGACTGATTGACTGACCAACAGCATCCATTTTGTGATTTTACCAGTGATTGTGCTTTGCACTCACAGGATTATACCAGGGTTGGACTACCGAAGCTGTCTGCAAGTAAACTGTGCCCACATCACCAGCGCTAAATGGCAGAACCACTGGAAGAGGGAGCCCAAAGACGAAATGAGACACAAACGCCGCAGACACAAACTAGCCCTGGCCCAAGCACAGCACAAGACAGACAGGCAACTCCGACCCAAGAAGTACCGGCTGGTAACAAACAACCTTCCCAGCAGGAACCAACGCAACAACCACCGCGGCAACTACAGCCAAGACCGGGTGAGACACAAACTAACCCTGGTCCAAGCACAGCTGCGACCCAACAACTACCGGCTGATGGAGTGAGGGATGATCAACAAACGACTCAGTCCAGCAGCAGACAGCCTTCCCAGCAGGAACCAACGCAACAACCACCACCGCAACTACAGCCAAGACCGGGTGAGACACAAACTAACCCTGGTCCAAGCACAGCTGCGACCCAACAACTACCGGCTGATGGAGTGAGGGATGATCAACAAACGACTCAGTCCAGCAGCAGACAGCCTTCCCAGCAGGAACCAATGCCACAACCACCGCCACAACTACAGCCAAGACCGGGTGAGACACAAACTAACCCTGGTCCAAGCACAGCTGCGACCCAACAACTACCGGCTGATGGAGTGAGGGATGATCAACAAACGACTCAGTCCGGCAGCAGACAGCCTTCCCAGCAGGAACCAATGCCACAACCACTGCCACAACTACAGCCAAGACCGGGTGAGGCACAAATTAACCCTGGTCCAAGCACAGCTCCATCCCAACAACTACCGGCTGATGGAGTGAGGGATGATCAACAAACGACTCAGTCCGGCAGCAGACAGCCTTCCCAGCAGGAACCAACGCAACAACCACCGCCACAACTACAGCCAAGACTCGGTGAGACACATTTGAACATATCGTCTGTAAACCCTGCATGTTATGACTCCCCTGGCCCTGACATCGGTTCCCTGACAGCATCCTTCCCCTCCATCCTTTGCATTGACGCTATTAGGCGCAATGCATATAGCGTAGCAGAGTCCCTGAAACAAGGGGTACCGCACTGGTGTACTGCCCCCTGTCACCACATGGCGAATTACTCGGAGCATCCGTACTGCACAATACCACAACCAATAAGTGACTAATTGAAACACAGATAAGGTCACACTATCCTCACTGGAATGCAGTTGCCAGCTGTGGTATGTTGTGGTACACGGCTAGTCAGGTAGTTCCACAGCTGCTGTTTTTGTGCAGTCCTGCTACCACACAAAGGCTGTGCAGTCATGCAGGTCACTTGCTCCTTGTATGAAGGAATGCCCCCATTGCACCCCGTCCTTAAGCCATATTTTGCATTCTTCTGATTGGTATGCCTCTTCACAGAACATAATTCACTATACTTACTTACGTATTAGTACTCATCCATTATTGAATACACTAGGAAAGAAAGGCATAAAACCCTGTGCAACTTCAGTCCTGCAAAATCCTCCAACTGCCTTCATGTAAAAATTGCATACAGCCTCAATCCTGCAAAAGGCTCTGTTATTTATGTTGTCCTTGAAGGGGTGACCACTACCTCAATCCTGCAAAATCCTCCGGCAATCACTGTCAAGTTGTTGAGGCAGAGCCAGTGACATCCTGGAGCAGTGCGGAGGATAAGTACATGTATAATGTAGGCCTAAATATGTGTGGCTGAGCATAAACAACAAAAGGTCCAGTGCATCCTGCAAAATCAGCCACACATTTCTGCCATAAAGCCTCAATTTTTTGCAAAATGTTCCATTTTGCTGAGAGGATTTGGGGAGGTTAGGCCAAAAAAAAGTTTCCAGTTTCTGGTTTGTACGTGTGTCGCCGTAGCCGTGCGCGTCTGCAAAATTAAAAAGTTTTTTTTAAATGTAAGATGATGTCTCAAAACTGCCAAACTCACTGGTTTGACTGGAATCCTGCTGCTGCACAATTTTAACGTGTTTTAGAGATGGTTACGATCAAGTATAAGCTGTATGTAGCCTCTCTGGGCACCCATATATTTTGCACTAAATTTAGTCGGGCACCATTTGCACACGGTGTTGCAATTTTGTTATTGTGCATCTGGAAGCCAGACTGAGGGAGCGATGGTCGTGTATCTCTGGGAATCTGTCAATGCATTTTAATTAGCGCAATATGTAAGGGAGCAGACAAATGACCAGCCTGACAGCTCATGTACGATGTCGATGTCGCTGTGTGGTCTGACATTACCATTTTCCCTGATTTTTGTCTTGATTATCCAAATTTCCTGAAGAATGTTCGTGTCGGTTGAGATCGTAAGTGGGTGCAGACTTCTCAAGCCTTATGGCCTTACTGAGGTCACCTCAAGCTCCACTCTGAAAGATATTTTTGAAAGTTTTAAGGGGATCGAAGTGTCATCTGCATCATATCAGCCGACATTTGAAGAAGAAAAAAGTGGGGCCCCAAAAAAAAAAAAAAAACCTGCGTCGCCGGACAACTTTTGGGGCAAGCTCCATACCAGAAACGGCAGACTTTGTTTTGGTCTTAGGGTTAATGGGGGATTATACTGTAGAAAACTCTGTCCTTTTATGTTACGTGCGATCATTTTTATTTTCAGATAATGTCATGAAAGCCCAGGAAGCAGACGCCAACGAGCGCGCAGAGAAGCGTAAAGCAGAGGCGACGGTTCTGAAAGATCAGGGGAACCAAGCATTCAAGAAGAGCGATTACACACGAGCCATTGAGCTCTACACGCAGGGCCTGGAACATCTAAAAGACTTCGTGGTGCTGTACACCAACAGGGCACAGGTAAACAAGTCAAGTCTGTTACGAGCCAAGATCTCCGTATTCATGAAATGACTGAGAATATTTCTATTCCCCCTGGATCAGGCCATTGTAGGTTGCTCCCCAACTAATACCCTTACCATTTACATGTGTACTCCTGGGTGGAGAGAGGCAAGTGAAGATGAAGGCTTGTAAGAGAGATACGCAACGTTTTAATTTATTTCCTGAAAAGTTTTCATATAAAGAAGGGGGGGAAAAAAAAAGGAAAACATATCAATTTGGGAGGGGGGCCAACTCATCTTACATGTATGTTTTTGTAGTACTGCTAATAAGGCAGACGATTGTTATCCTGTTGAGACACACAACGCTTCGTTGATCACTATGCGGCAAATTTGCATCCCCTCTTTTCACTTATTTCCCCCTCCCAAAGGCTTACAACAAATTGGAAAAGTTTACAGAGGCAATGGTGGACTGCCGGACTGCCTTGCAGTTGGAACCAAACAACGTCAAGGCATTGGTGCACCTTGGTAAGGCCCAGCAGGGACTGAAGGATTACGAGGTGGCTGTTACGACTTACAAAGAAATCACCAAGATTGACGAGAAGTACGAAAGTAAAGTCGCAGGTGGGTCAGCAGTCTTCAGGCCAAATGCAAAAACATGTGATGCAACTAAATGAGTCATTTGTCGGCCCTTATCAAATGTTGTGGTTTTTTTTTTACATTTTTGAATTGAGCTGTATCTCAGTTTATATTTGGTGAAAACCCCATGTGAATAGGACCTTCCATTCAGAAGTTATGGGACTTGGAACACAGGCAGATTTGAAACAAGAAAACAGAGACTCAAACAGAGAAATCAACGATTCAAAATTGAAGTGTTTATTACACAACAATAAACATGCTTTATTTCAAGTTATTGACATAAATTTGTTACTCCTTAGCAAAAATGTCACGTTTTGAATACTTTATCGTGATATTTTCTCCGGAAAAAAAGTTGACATGAAAGAGGACATATGTAGCCTTCTTATTTTACAAAAAAGTCAATTTTGAAATTTTCACCCTGACTGAACTATTTTGGGCTGTATCTTAAAATCATAATTGCCGACAATTAACGACTCATTTAGTTTGATCGCATCACACATGTGAATGTGAATGCGAACTGAAGCTAATGTGAAGTCATTCAGGACACGTATTCAAATGAGTTGAAATGTTTGCAGATCCACAGTGCATTTATTTGCTGATAATTTTTGTGGATTTTTTTCATTTTCCAACAATCTCACCCCTGCACTAGGCTACATTGCAGAAGTGAATCTAGCCGAGTCCACAGCCAAGTCTGATATGGAGGCTGAGAGGCTGTTGAGTGAGGGCGATGTCAAAGCAACGGGCGTTCATGAGATCGGACTCGGTGACGGTAAGCAAAAACTCTGCCATAATTACCAATGTAGGTAATTACAAATGTAGGTAATTACAAATGTAGGTATGTAAATTGAATGTTTCTTATCCCAAAAATGTTTGTTTTACAGCATTTCATATAATCTTGAATTTTGGTTTAACTATAGACCCTTTGTTGGTTGTGCCATGACAGTGGGCAGCAGTCGATTTCATGAAAAAGTGCGCAGCTTGTGCCATGAGTAAGACTTAAGCAACAAATTTGTTGCCCAGCTGCGCAATAAAGTTACGATCGATTTCACAAAGCTTGGCGCAGCTTCACAATGCTTTAAATAATTTAAGCATCTTGGACGAGGATAAAAGCAGCATTTACCACGGCTGTTTGTGTGTGAATTTTTTCGTTCGCAAAACAGTCGTTGGATCACCTCAGCCCGCCATTTTGAAAATTATTTTGTCCGTCTTGTATCAACCTTGATAAGTTGTGCAATAACAAGCTCTGTGACACTCCTGATATGCTGGTAAAATATGTCATTTTCAGTCGTTACGACACAACTTATGCCGTCTAAAATGATGGTGCAAGTTACATCATAATTTATTGCGCAACTTGTGGACTTACGCACTATGTGACTTTTGTGAAATGGGTCATGTTGCGCAACTTACACAATAAATTTTGGCTCAAGCAGAGTTGCGCCAATTCGTAAGATTTTGTGAAATCGGCTGCTGGTCTGTTTTACTGCATTATTTTGTATATGGTGTAAGTCAAGGACACACGCAACATTATCAATGAATCGAGGACAGAAACCGAATCGAGGACTCCTTGGTTGGAAAATGTGTACAAACCAATGAGAGCTGTTGCAAACAAAGGAAAAGGGAAGAGGAACAAAAGAAAATCCTCAATTTACACCCCGTTAACCCTTTCGGCCATCAGCATGGGGGTTTGGTCGGTATCAAATCAGGGCATAATTGATTATAGTTGGCATGCGCAAGGCATACCGCCCCTAGAGTGGTAACAAGCATTTTGATGGACATTTTGAGAAAAAGGGTAATAATTAAAAGCTGCACTGCTGCAATGCTGTCACATATTTTCCAACTATGGAGGTGTATACCTTGCCAACTATGGAGGTGTATACCTTGCCAAAAATTGCTATGACGATTATTACCCTCATTTGATACCGGTTGCCAAAATTTTTGACCAAGGCTGATCCATGGCCTACTTGTTCAGCACGATAACTTGATAAATACTTTACTTAGGAACTTGACATTTCGTTTGTGGATTGTTCTGGATAGTCTTAATAGGCCTATTAATTTTGGGGCCAACAGGTCAAAGGTCAAGGTTACTATTGCTAAAACAAAAGAAATCTTGTCAACGAGTTAACTTGAGAAATACTTTACTTATTAAAGAACTTGAAATTTGGTTCGTGGGTTGTTTTTGGTACTCTTAAGAAGCCTATTGCTTTTGGGACCGACAGGTCAAAGGTCAAGGTCACTATTGCTAAAACAATAGAAATCTTGTCAATGCGATAACTTGAGAATAATTACATAGGAGCTTTAAATTTGGTTTGTGGGTTGTCTGTTGTTCTTGATAATCTTAAGAGGCCTGTTGCTTTGGGGCCGACAGCTAGGTCAAGATCACTAATTGCTGTATTGTCAGCATGAATGCTTGAGAAATACTTTACTTAGGAACTTCAAATTTGGTTTGTGGGTTGCTCTTACCGTAACCACAGTAACAGACAGTCAAGCAGCTCTGACCCAACAACTACCAGATGATCAACAAACGACTCAGTCTGGCAGTGGACAGCCTTCCCAGCAGGAACCAACGCAACAACCTCCGCCGCAACTACAGCCAAGACCAGGTGAGACACAAACATTTGTCTGTAAACCATGCATGTTATAACTCCCCTGGCCCTGATATCGGTTCCCAGTGACAGCATCCTTCCCCTCCATCCTTTGCATTGATGCTATTAGGCACAATATATAGCATTGCAGTGTCCCTG